GGATATCAACATTCTAACAATGTGTGTAGATGTTATATATCACAACAGTATGACTGTGTTAGATATCATTCTAACAATGTGTATAGATGTTATATATCACATCAATATGACTGTTAGATATCATCATTCTAACAATGTGTGTAGATGCTATATATCACATCAATATGACTGTTAGATATCATCATTCTAACAATGTGTATAGATGTTATATATCACATCAATATGACTGTTAGATATCATCATTCTAACAATGTGTATAGATGTTATATATCACATCAATATGACTGTTAGATATCATCATTCTAACAATGTGTATAGATGTTATATATCACAACAATATGACTGTGTTAGATATCATTCTAACAATGTGTATAGATGCTATATATCACATCAATATGACTGTTAGATATCTTCATTCTAACAATGTGTATAAATGCTATATATCACAACAATATGACTGTGTAGATATCAAGATTCTAACAATGTGTATAAATGCTATATATCACATCAATATGAATGTGTTAGATATTAAAATTCTAAAAAAGTGTTTGGATGTTATATATCACATCAATATGACTGTGTTAGATATCATTCTAACAATGTGTATAGATGCTCTATATCACAACAATATGACTGTGTTAGATATCAACATTCTAACAATGTGTATAAATGCTATATATCACAACAATATGACTGTTAGATATCATCATTCTAACAATGTGTATAGATGATATATATCACATCAATATGACTGTGTTAGATATATCTCATACATCATTACTGTGATTGCCTGTTATATATTCATATTTAATCAATGTACAATGCATATCGACACCACAATAATAGCATTGGATATAAACCGTCTAACTATATCGTACTAATACATTTCAGGTTTGATAAACGCTGAATACAATGATGTATGGAAAGAAGAACGCCGATTCACTCTAATGGCTCTTAGAAAATGTGGGATGGGTTCATTAAGAATGGAAGAGAAGATATTACGAGAAATAAAATATATGATGGCGGACATTGATGAGAGAATTAATCAACCTATTGATCTTCTTCATCTACTCTCTCAAACTCCGGCAAATGTCGTATCTACAATCGTTTTTGGTAAACGATTCGAACATGAGGATCCAATGTTTTTAAAACTTCTGGACTTACAATTTGTGTTCACAACCAAAGTCAATCGATTAGGGGCATCCAATTTATTTCCCGCATTACGTTTTGTACCGGGAATGAAATATTCAAATGAACTGCACTCAACTGTCGATAATGCTGCACAAATTTTTCGCAAATATATCGAAGATCATCGGAAGAAATTTGATTCAAACTCGGAGCCGCAGTGTTTCATTGATATGGCAATTTCACATATTGAGACTTTAGGTGACCGCACCACGATGACATATGATAGTCTATCTTATACTCTCTGGGATCTGTTTTCGGCGGGAACTGAAACAATATCAATGACTTTAAGCTGGGCTATACTATATATGATGTTGAATCCGAAAATACAATATAAGCTACAGGCTGAAATTGATGATGTAGTTGGTGCCTCAAGACCGGTTTCTACAACGGACAGACCGGC